AGATCTACTTGGAAGAGTGTTTAGGCTGTTTTTTTGTTTCCAGAGTTGGTGTTTCTGCTGCGTTTTCTTGTTTAAATCACCATTTCTGCTTGTTTCTGATTGGAATTGTTCTTAAGGATGCTGAATTATTTCTGGAATTCTGCTTTCCGTGGATGTTCTTTAGAAATTTGAGATGGGTTTTTGTGGATTCTTTGGTTTCTGCTCCATTTCTGTGCAGTTTTGATTAGTGCATTTTGAATGTTTTTGATAGATCTTCACCTGAAACTCCCAACAAGACATCCCCTGCAACGCCTAGGGTGAGCAGACTGAATAAAGGGATAGCTAAATCAGAGTCTGATTCTCATTCTCCTTTGCAAAAGTCTCGTCTCTCTGTCGATCGATCTCCTCGACCTGCAACTTCGAAGCCTGCAGTCGATCGTCAACTGCCGAAAGTCGGTACCCCACCTGATGTAAGTTTTAGTTCATCAGAATTGCCAATGTTGTTGTGTTGAAAGTGAATTCATGAATGCTAATTGTGATATCGTTCTGTTCTTCTTCAGAAAGCACTGCCTCGAGGTACAAAGATTTCAGAGGTACAAACTCAATTAAATGATGCGCAGGAGAATCTGAAGAAGGCAAAGGAACAAATAGATTTGGTTGAAAAAGAGAAAGAAAAGTTGAGCAATGAATTGAAAGATGCTCAAAGAGCAGCAGATGAGGCAAGTGAGAAACTCAGAGAGGCGTTGATGGCCCGAAAACAAGCCGAAGAGAGTTCCGAGATCGAAAAGTTCCGAGCTGTTGAGATCGAGCAAGTAGGACTCGAGGAAGCTCAGAAGAAAGACGAGGAATGGAAGAAAGAGATAGAAGCTGTAAGGAGCCAACAGGCATTGGATGTTGCTGCTCTTCTCTCTACTAGTCAAGAGCTTCAAAAAGTGAAGATGGAGCTAGCGATGACTACCGACGCCAAGAACCAAGCATTGAGCCATGCTGATGATGCGACGAAGATCGCTGAGATTCATGTCGAGAAGGTGGAGATTCTCTCAGCTGAGCTTGCGAGTTTAAAGGGATTGTTAGACTCAAAGCTTGAATCACAGGCAAATGAGAGTGGGGAATTGATAATGAAGCTTAAGTCAGATATAGCATCTCTGAATTTGGAGCTTGAGAAAGCTAAATCCTATGCTGAGAGAGTGAAGGACAAAGAGATCTCCATCGAGCGACTTAATCACGAACTAAACGTTGCAAGGATGGCAAAAACATCCTATGAGGAGACGATCATGGAGAAAGAAGCGTCCATTGAACAGCTTAATGTTGATCTCGAAGCTGCAAAGATGGCTGAGACGTACACACACGGTTTAGTCGAAGAATGGAAGAACAGAGCTGAGGAGCTAGAAACACAATTGGAGAATGCTAATAAGATAGAACGAGCAGCATCGGAGTCTCTACAATCGATGATGAAACAACTCGAGCTAAATAACGATCTACTGCATAATGCGGAGATCGAGATTGCTGCTCTAAAAGAGAAAGTTGGTTTGCTGGAAACGACAGTTAAAAGACAAAAAGAGGATCTAAAAGAATTAGAACACAATCTTCATGTAAGGAAGGAAGAAGCATCTGAAATGGAGAAGTTGACTGTGTCATTAACGTCACAATTGGAAACTCTCAAGGAAGAGAAAACTCAAGCTTTAAACAATGAGAAACTTGCAGCTTCCAATGTACAAAGCTTATTAGAAGAGAAAACCCGACTCTTAAACGAGCTAGAAACGTCCAAGGACGAGGAGGAGAAGAGCAAAAAGGCAATGGAGAGCTTAGCGTCGGCATTGCACGAAATCTCCTCCGAGGCCAGGGAAACAAAGGAGAAACTGTTGTCTTGTCGAGCCGAGCAAGAAAACTACGAATCCCAGATAGAGAACCTAAAGATGGCGTTGAAAGCTACCAATGAGAAACATGAAAACACGCTTGAAAGTTCAAACCACGAGATCGATATCTTAACGAGTACGATTGAGAAATCGAAGAACGAGCACGAGAAATCCAAGGCTGAGTGGGAAAAGAAGGAGCTTGAGCTGGTGGAGGCTGTGAAGAAATCAGAAGCAGATAACTCTTCATTGGAGAAGGAAATAGATAGGCTTGTGAATTTGCTTAAACAAACAGAGGACAATGCTTGTAAGATGAAGGAAGAAGAAGCTCAGCTCAAGGATAGCTTGAAGGAAGTCGAAGCTGAGGTTATTTATTTGCAGGAATCGCTTGGGGAAGCGAAATCCGAAAGCATGAAACTTAAGGAAAGCTTATTCGACAAAGAAAACGAGCTGCAAAGCATTCATCAAGAGAATGAGGAGCTTCTAGCAAGGGAAGCTGCTTCTCTTAGAAAGATTGAGGAGCTATCCAAGTTGCTTGAGGAAGCTTCAACCAAAAAGAACGATGAGCCAACGGATAGCGAGAAGGATTACGATTTGCTTCCGAAAGTGGTCGAGTACACCGAAGAGAATGGCAAACGAGATGGCGATAACCCGAAAGTGGAGCTCTCAGTACCCATTGTAGAAGAAAACAAATTTGAGTTTCCATTGGTAGAGAATGAAAAAACAGACTCACCACCAACAACAACACCACCTCAAAATGGAGACGAGAAAAACGAGAAGAAAGACAACTCGGTGAAGGTCGAATACAAAATGTGGTTCTCACAAGAGGGAGGAGAAGCAGAACACAAATCCATCGACAAGGAGGAGGACGACGACTCGAAAGTCGAGAGCAGGGAGAGTTTCGATCAGACGACGAACGGTGTAAGCGTGGAGAAAATAGAGGACGGGGGAAACTCGCCGTTAAAGCAGCAGCAGCAACAGAAGAAGAAGAAGGCATTGTTTAAGAAAATTGGATATCTTCTGAAGAAGAAGAACAATGTGAATCAGAAACAGTGATGATATATATATATATATAGTAGTGTGGGAAGTATATGGATAGTAATATATGGTTATATATAATGATTTGCTCTGGTTTTTCTGAATAGGTTGAAAAAGGATTTGTTCTTCTTCTTGTTCTTGTTCTTCCACTGCTGGGCAGATTGTTGTATGTTGTTGGGATATTTGTTTTGTTCTTTGTTCTTTGTTCATTGTTCATTGTTCATTGTTTAATGGCTGCCTTCATATCACTACTACTGATGTAGAATCTCGTGAAAAAAGAGTGAGTGATTACTTCAACTTGTATTATTATTCATTCTTTTGTTTGTTTATTATGCAAATCGGAACTGCTCTGTAAATTTTTTTTTTTATTGTTTATGAATTCAAACCGTTTGTTTTCCATCTTATAAGATTCCATTCGGTTCTCTCCCTAACAGACGCGTTTTTGAAAGTTCCACATCGAGTTTATTACAAAGAATGTTCTTTCCACTGGTATGAGGCCTTTTGGGAAGCCAAAGCAAAGTCATGAGACCGCTTAAAGTGGACAATATCATATTTGTTAGCCTGTTTTCCAAACACTATGCTAGATTTTCTAAGAATTTTACTAGAATGCATGTAAGGATAGTCTTCACTCTTAACAAAGAGTAAGCAACATGACGATGTCGTAAGAGAGTAGGAGAATGTCGGGCCATCAAACATCTAATCTAGATGCCAATCCTGGCCTAGAATTTCTACAAATTTATCATAATCAATTTTAAATTCACGGAGCGCCAAAAAAATATTTAAATAACATAAAAGAAAAAAGAATATTGACAAAGAGAAAAGAAAAAGTGAGGCTTCAATCTCAAGGCATCGCTTTTTAAACGCTCATTGGTGCGCCGCCGGTCCCAAAAGCCCTTATCTTTCCGTCTCCGACATTGCTTTTTAAATAATATATGATAATTCATAAATTATTTTTTATTTTTTATCTCTTTTTTAACCTTTTTTTTTTTGTTAAGATATTTGGTTATTTATTTATTTAATCCTTTTTTTGGTAATTTTTTAAAATTAAATTATAAATTTAGTCACGGTGTTCATATGATTGTAAGTAATAATTTGAGAAACTATTATAACATTCATAAGATCCCGCATTTTAACGTAAAACCAGATCGTTACTACATACATGTGAAAAAAATTAACTAAATTTAAAAATTATACTATGATTGATTATCCCCCGACCATGATCTCCCTTGCGCTGGCTTAAAAAAAAATCATTTGAAAAAGTTTGAATATTGAAAATACCCCGTACGTTACTCCACAATTGAGGTTGATAAATGCAAATATATGCAATATGACTATGACTATCGTGACTCGTGAGAGACTTAATTTATACTTGAATTTTATAAACAAATTATTTATTAGATAATTACGAGTACTTAAAGTGAAAAATGAAATTATATAAGTAAAACAAGTTATATCTCTAATCTCTAAGAAATTTTCTTTTTAGAGTCTCTTACCCGTCTTGATCTTGTGTTTGAGTTAGCTATAAAATTCAACCGTTAAAGTGAGAAAATAAAATGTGCGCCCTAAAATGAAAGTAGATTTTAATATTTTTTTCTACGTAAATGAAACATTCATTCCCGATAGAAACTTCCTCCATAAGATCTAAAATTTTCTTTACAAGATCTTTTCGATTATGATTCAAACACAGAACCGAGACTTATAAGAAGAGAGAATGTGCTGAGATGATTTTTGGCTCGATGAAAGCGCTTTAGGAGAACTTTTATCAAATTTTGAATAATATATTTGAATATATTTACGGCCCATTTGAATCTCATTAAAATTTTAAATATATTTTTTTTATTTAATTTACATTAAAAATTTTAATATTTAATATATCAATTACAAATAAATATATATTTTTTTATATTTAAAATATATTATACAAAATATTAACTTAAACTCCACAAATTAACTATATTTTCTCCTTTTATATTTAAATATTTAAATTTAATATTTTAAAATTGGTTTGTTTTCTTAATAAAAAATTTAATATTATTAGAATTTTTAAAATTTAAAAATATTTTTGAGATAGTTTTATTAATTTAGTATATATAAAAATATAAAAATTTAACCTAAAAAAAAATTGCATTCGGCGCTCTGCAAATTTTCTGGGAAAGTTTCATTTCTTTCACAAAATCATAGTTAGGAACTTCAAAATTGAGCGGAGCGACTGATTATCAGAAGAGCGAGAAACCCCTGTTCTTGAGCGGATGATTGCAATCTCTCTAGCTCGCTCTGCATTTTCCGGCCCCAATTCTTCACAGCCCTTTTTCCGGCTATCACGACATGTAAGTTTCTCTCTCTCGCTCTCATCTGAATCCTGCACTCATATCTTGTTAATAGAAATCGTTTGATAATCTCCGTCTTTGATTATTAATCACTTGCATTGGTTGGAAATGTTGGATGAAGAAAATCCCACCTCGGCTCATTTAGGGGCTAATTTAGGGAATGATCATGAGTTTATAAATAAAGAATACTCTCTCCATTGGTTTGAGGCATTTTGGGGAAGCCCAAAGCAAAGCCATGAGAGCTTACGATCAAAGTGGACAATATCATACCATTGTGGAGAGTCGGGTTCGCCTAACATGGTATCAGAGTCATGCCCTAACTTAATCGTGCCAATAGATTGGCAGGAGAGTTGTGTTCGTCTAACATGGTATCAGAGTCATGCCCTAAACTTAGTCGTGTCAATAGATTGGTAAATCCGCAAATGTCGAACAAAGGACTCCAAAAGAAAAGGAGTTGAGCCTCCTCGAAGGCAGTAAAAAATGACTAAGACTCCAAAGGAGTCAAGCCTCGATTAAGGGGATGCGTGCTTTGTTCGAGAGAAGGTATTGGATGATGAAAGTCCCACATTGACTAATTTAGGGAATGGTCATGGGTTTATAAACAAAGAATACTCTCTCCATTGGTTTGAGGCCTTTTGGGGAAGCCAAAGCAAAGCCATGAGAGCTTATGCTCAAAGTGGATAATATCATACCATTGTGGAGAGTCGTGTTCGTTTAACAGGGAACACTTCCAATTGGCTAAAACTAAATTTCTTCGAAGAAATCTCTTAATACTCTTTTGTTTTCTTTGTGCAGAGTCGGTCCTGGAGCTCCTATGGTCTTAATTCTGCTCTAGCTGGGAAAGGGATTTTGGTTCAGGACCAGGCTTTTCTAAATTTGAAGTCCACTGAACTATTCCAAAAGGGTGCAACTCTTGCAGGTAGCTTCTTAAGTGTTCTGTTCTTGGTACTTTCATTTTATTGCATTTCTGTTTCTTATATCGTTTCTTTCTCTTTTTAGAACCCTTATCAGGGCTTCCCATTCATGTTAGGGGCCATGCACTTCGAGGGTCTTCAGAAATATCCAAGCCACAATTCACTAAACTTTTAAAGCAGGCATGCCCTTTAGCTTTTACCAATCTTTGTGTCTTTTTCTTATCAGCTGGCGGTTCTTTTTAGGTGAGATGTGACGATAATAGATATCTTAAGAACCATAGTGTTGATGAGATGATTGGATTAGTATGGTTACAAATAGCAACACAATTAGGAATGCCTCTTTGAATTTTCTTTCAGAATTTCCTTTTGTCTCTAATTTTGGTGATCTTGTGTTAAATGGGGGGTTTTTTTTTTTTGTTTGGTTGTTCTTTGAAGATGTGTTTTTAGTAGGAGTGCCTCTTTGAAGAAGGGTGCCATTGGAGGGTTGGCTGTTAGCTTTGTTCTTCTATCCTGCTATGGGGTTTCCATGTTTTGGTAGGAAGGCCGAAGCTTCTATCTCGATCATAGCTTAAGAGAATTAAGAGTCTGGTTAAATTGGTGCTTTAGTTTCAGTTTGGGCTTTATGGCCAGTAATCTTGCTTTGAAGGTTGAAGTGATTTTGGTATACCATGGTCTTTTGTTTGTCAGAAGCTCTGCTATTTTAGCATCTACGTGATACAATGCCACTACAAGTGTACACACGTTACACTCGTGGCAAAAAGAAGCAGTCACTTATGAAACTCATTAGTTGAATTTTTCTGTATGCAGTTTTTTTTTCAGTTCCCGTATTGCAAGGAGTCCACCTTCATTTCTATTTTTAGTTATTTTCCTTGTTTTAGGAGGATGATTCTCCATGATTGGGTGATGGTATCATTGATGTAGCAATGATTATTATACAACATGCATAAATAATCATAAGTATCAATGAAGATGGTACCTAAAAATTTCCAATAAGGCCAAGCAAAGCTGAAACCTTATTTTGATCTGTCAGCATATTCAACTCTCATTAAAATTTGATTTTATTTGTCGTGTTAGGTAACGAGTCACATTTCTTCCATCTCAAATATTTATGTTCATGATGGTGCAATTGGATCAAGATCAAAATGTAATGTGAAAATTCGAATGATAAGTGATGGTCCTTCTTCAATATTAGCATTTTCAAATATTGTATGGGAGACTACAACCCGGGCAATTTCTCACGATTCTTGTCCTCTGACAGTTTATGCTGCTGAATCTATAAGGTACTTTTTTCTTTCCTTTTTTGATAAGTAACAATTTATTGAAACATGGGAGGATGTATTGGAGAAGATTGAGGAAAATAAGATATCCTCATCGTCCGAGAGGTTAAATAACAAAAAATCTCTTTTTAATGTTTATGAATGAAGAGGAATGATACAAAGGATGAAGAGTTCTTCATTTATAGCCGTTGAGTTTCACTTTTACCATGTAGCCCAGGGGTGGGAAATACAATTGGTCTTGGAGCTGGAGGAGATAATGGATTCATAGCTGCTGATATTGAGCGTTCAATGCTGATATTATGTGGAAAAGCTTTCTCAGATACAAATGGAACTAAAGAAACACTTGTTGCTTTATCCGAACCTGTGATATTTGCACGCGGAGGACTTCCTCTTCCTGCAAGGTAAGGTATACTTTTTGGGCAATTTTTTTTCCCTGCTTCACAACCTGGTAATTGAGAATCGATACTTGCACTCAAATTGACGATGAGCTTCTCGAGCCTTATTGGTTCAATTTTTACTTGTGTTCCATACCCTTTCTCAAAGAGATTGTAAATTTCAGGCTTTTAGTTTCTGGTGATTCTGTGGTTTTGTTGTTCGCCCCTGAAGACGTTATTCAGAACTGTGCTGCTTTTCTGGTATCTAAAGATGCTGGTGTTGTTCTTTCCTCCGAAGGTGTCATGCCATTTTTCCGAATAGGGAATACGAATACCAATGGCCCACATATCTTCAAATCACCTTCAGCTATTGTTCTTGTAACTTCTGATGAGTAAGTTTCATTTGAAATTTGTTGCATCATGACACCATAGAGTACAGTATCTTTCATTTATTGGCTCATGATGATTGACATGCCATTTTTGATACACTGCCATCGCCCTTTCTATGTTAGAGCACCACAGGTAAGGGCAAAAGGATTTTAAAGGAGGATGTAGAAACCTGGTGATCTCAAACTTGAAAGAGCAAGGATCCAACTTAGGAGTCCAAAGCACGAACTAATAGGCCAATGGTTAGATGTAAGTTTAGGACATATGCCTATCTAACCCCTGATAGAGGTTCATCGAACCCGTAGAGTGAAGAAACCCGTCAAAACGATAGAGTGGTAGAATTGACACTCAACTTAGACCGAGTATGTAAGATCCTATATCAGTTGGAGAGGGGAACAAAACATTCCTTATAAGGGTGTGGAAACCTCTCTCTAGTGAGCGCATTTTAAAACTTTGAGGGGAAGCCCAAAGAGGATAATATTTGCTAGTAGTGGGCTTGGACCATTGCAAATGGTATCAAAGCCAGATACCGGGTGATGTGCTAGCAGAGACGCTAGGCCCCATGGGGAATGGATTGTGAGATCCCAATTGGTTGAAGAGGGGAACGAAACATTCCTTATGAGGGTCTGGAAACCTCTCCTTAGTGGATGCGTTTTAAAACCTTGAGGGGAAGCCCAAAAGGGAAAGCCCAAAGAGAACAATATCTGTTAGCGGTGAACTTGGGCTATTACAAAGTAATGGGGAGCCATAAAAAAGATTGCAGTCCTTGAAATGGTTAAAAGACTCTCGTGGACCTGAAATTTTCCCATTGGAAGATTACCCACAACAAATCCTACAACCTCAAGTTTACTTAGCTAAGCCTCATAAGGAGGAAGGTCAAGTCCCAAGCCAAAGCCGATTACGTGCAAAGAGTTGGAAGGCCTGCAACTTATTTGGTCGAAACGAGGAGAAACGTTGAATTTGTTAGCTCCTTGCAGCAGTTTGTGGCCAATGACTATTTTCAATAAAGATAATTGTTATATTTTTCAGTTCTTTTGATATTGACTGTGTTGCAAATCAGAACATTCATAGTGTCTATTAGTTTGGTAACTTTAGTAAGCCATACAAAATGAAAATGATGCAGTGGTTTGTGTTAGCAGCTCTAGAACTATTCCTTCTGCTTCAAAGCTTTCTCCTGGTCAGGCTGCGTATCACTTTTTGGCTGGGCATCAGAATGGTAAATTTGTGGCAGCATTCCACAAAGGCCCCTCATCTATTGACCCATTGGAACTGGGCAAGGCTTTACTGTGCATGGTAAAACTTGAAATTTCTTGATTCTCTTTTTTACCAACCATTTCACCTGCCTTCATTACTATGGTGCAGTTAAAAGAGCAGCAAATCCCATCCTTTCTAGTCAATGCCAAAGGAATAGAAAGTGGTATGGAGAAACCTATATATTTTCTCTTGTTCTTTCTCTTCAAAATTTTATTGGTTATCACTCTAAATTTACCAGAAAAAACTTGACATTCTTGAAGCAGGAAAGGATATTGTCACTCTAGTGGAGTCAGCTCTATCCATGAACATCCCACCCTTTCAAACTGAAGGTAGCTCACCGATACTTTACCTCGTCCGTTGTGGCATCATCGTCGTCGTCTAAGTTATGCTATTTCATATTTTCAGGTGGTGAACTTAAGAGAAGGTACAAAAGCTTTGTAAGTGAAAAATATCAACAATTGCCTGAGGATTTTTCCTTCTGAAGGTGACCATCGCATTCCTTTCATGTAGTTTATAGTATTCAATTTGTTAGTGGCAAGCAATTGGGTAGCGTTTAGAATACGTGTCATTTTCGATGTAGGTAGTTATTGTTCACAAATAGGCATTGGATTTTCTCGATACATCAATTCATACTCTAACAGTATGTAGTTCAATAAGAAAGTGATGAATGAGAGTAAGTGATGAGTGAGAGTAGCTAGATTATTAAAAGACCATCGTCTTCTTGTATCAATCTCTTCTGGGTCATACCAATCTAACAACTTATACTTAAGTTAAGAAAAATATGAACAACTCATTTCACATCCTTTATAAAACAATCTATTCAAACGTTTTCATGCATCAAATAAGATATTAACAAAATCGTGTCATTTTCAACTCATTTCACATACTTTATAAAACAATCTATTCAAACGTTTTCATGCATCAAATAAGACATTAACAAAAACGGGTCATTTTTAAACAAGTTTCACATGTTATAAGCAAAATATCTCGACACAGTCAGAATCCATTTTAATGGTACATTTTACATACTTTATAAATAATGGATATCAACAAAAACAAGTCATTTTCAAACAAGTTTAAGGACATTACGTTGAACACCACATGTACACTAGATGTGGATAGCGAATAAGGATCATAAGTATTAATATGATCATACTCGATTATACTCGAGCTAGTTCACCACACATGTATCTCAAGAATAACATTTTACCACACACGTATCTCAAAGAATAACATTTTGGTAAAGAGATGGTCACTTTTATTTAACTTTTTTCACAACTTTGACAAATTTTATACTTTGTGATTAAAGTGATGCATAAATATTGAGAAATGACAACTAAAATGACAACATATATTTTTGTAACATATTTTAGATAAAAGTTTAAAAAGCTCTAAGATCCTTTTTTTTTTTTTTTATTCTCTATTTAATGGTAAAAAATAACCAACTAATTTAATTTAATTTCTAATAAAAATTTAAAAAGCTCGTCATTTTTCCCTTCTTTCTTCTTATCTTGGAAAGCTCACTTGGAATACTATGAATTCTTTTCAATCTTGTACGAATGCTGAATATTGACTCAATCTCGATGAAAAAAGTATGAACGTGCACAACTGCATCAAAAAAACCTCTATTCCTGAAGTAAATTCTAGCCACTCTTTCTCGGCTCATATAATATTCGAAATTGAAACAACTGTCAAAAGAATCAATGGTATACTCGTTTGCCTGATTTTGCTGAGCAACAATTAGACACTGTCAGTATAATTCTCTTATAAAAAAATCGTTCCTTCTTTAATGAAATCACATAATCAAAATCGAAAGGAAAGAGATGGCACGAAACCACTCATTTGATAGGGAGAGGAGCGAAACCACTTTAGAATTCAATTGGGTGAAGGAAAAAGAACCTTTAACCTATTTCCCTCGTGAAAGAAAAAAGATGGTTCAACCCTCGTTCAAGAAGTCCCTAAAGAAAGGAGGAGGTTCAGGAGTGAAGGAGAATGAATGTTTCCTTAAACCTTCCTTCAATCACAAAACACTTTCTATATATCTGCAATCTCAATCAAAGATAGTTCCATTCTGTCTTAAACGATCTAAGGTTACTCAACTCTCCAGCCCCTCAAGACACAAGGCACATTGGAGAGTTCACTAGGTCTGTCGCTCTCTTAATATCAAATAGAAGTTATTAAGATTAGCTGCTATTATTATAATATGTAATTGAATTTGCTCGAAGATAAGAGCAAAGAATCAAATGAAAGAGCTCATTCACCTATTTATTCAAACACGGTAAACTTTGGGACCTTTTCCTTCTTTCACAAGGGTTTTTTTATTTTTTATTTTTATTCAAATAGAAGTTCTCGCTCTTGAACCTATTCTTTATGGTCTGACAATTCCATTGCCTCCTTCTCCGTTATCATCATGGGTCATTTTGACATAACATTCTCAACCGCTTAGGAGTCGAGAGCCTGGAGGAACCAGGCTATTTCTCTCGATCTTTATACGCAATATCTTAAAGTAGCAGAGTGGTTACTTGTAGTTTCTCTCTTCCTAGTGTACTCGTGCAACACCGCTTATGGCACCTCATAGTTATTGTATGCATAAGGGTAACGAAATATTGATTGTACGGTTCTCTCGCAATTATGGTGTGTAGTGATAGTTGTGTATGCATGTGAAAGATTAGTTTTTTGATTAAATAAAACATTAAGCAAATGAGTAATTAACATAATTTAGGAGTAATTGAAGATTTAATAAAAATATTATAAAACTAGTTGGTAAGGCAAATAATTATAAACTAAGATTTATTATTATTATTATTATTATAATTTCTACTAAAAGGGAGTCTACCATGTAACATGGTAAAGAAAGTATATTAAATTTTAAAATGGATTTATGTTTATATTAAATATTAAAAAAAAAAATTATGGCAATTAAATTTATTTTAATCCTTAAACTTTCACATTTATTTTAATTTAGGTTTTAAAATTTTGAAATATTCAATTTATTTTTTAACATTAAAGATATTCATTTTAATTATTTATTCCAGAAATGAAGATACAAATTTGATGAAGTAAATATTAGATTATGAAATAATAAAAATGATTAAAATGTGTATTTTTATTTATTTATAAATTTAATGACTAAAATTGAGAGAAAGTTGACCTTTTTTTACCCATATTTTAATAGATAAAAAATTCAAAATTTTATTTAGTAAAATTCATTATTTTTTTTAAAAAAATGGTAAATATGTTAGGAACGTATTAGAAAAAAAAGATGAAAATTTAGTTTCTATATTTTTAATATTTAGGGACGTAATTATTAGATACAATCGAAAGTTTAGAAATTAAAAATGATTTAATATTAGAGACGGATTTTAAATATAAAAAAAATTATAATTTAATCTAATATTAATAGAAATTTTTAAAGGTGTGAAATATCTTTTTAGTGGTTTCACTATTTAATTATTTATGATGGAAAAATATTAATTTTTCGATATCGTTCTAAAATATTGATGACGTGATCTCATTACGTGACGATATAAGTTGACAAAAAATAATAATATTTATATAATTCAACGTTGAAAATTAATTATATTAGGAGGAATCTAAAAATACCACGAGCGGATAGGGAAGGCGGCCACTTTGATTCCCATTTCATTTTTATTGACTTTAAAATATGTATAATTGTAAATAAAAAATATAATTGAAATTTTAAAATATTTTCCAACTGAGCCTCCAAACAGACTCCATGCACCCGCGCTCCACCGTATAAATTACGCAAACTCGGAGCGTTTTTGGTCACCGGAGTTGTTCATTTTCTCGACTTCCAAACAGCATATCTGCAGCAGAAGCGGCAGCCATGGCTTCTTCTTCTTCATCGTCGTCGTCGTCGTCGTCGTCGGATGGCTTTCGTGTAGGCTATGCTTTTCCCCCAAACAAAGAGCGTAATGTGATTCGTCCATCTCTGATTGACTACGCAAAGCTCCATGGCGTCGACCTGGTCCGCATCGATCTTCAAACGCCGATTCTCCACCAAGGTCCGTTTCACTGTATCATACACAAGATGTACGACGATGCTTGGGTGGATACACTTCAGGATTTCGCCTCGAAGAATCCGGACGTTGTTGTTGTGGATCGGCCGGACCGGATCGAGCGACTCTACAACAGAGTATCGATGCTGGATGTGGTGAATCAGGTGAAGGTTTCAGACAGCGGCGTGAAGATCGAGGTGCCGAAACAGGTCGTTTTGAATCGGAAGGATGGAGTAATCGATTTGATTAGGGATTTGGAGGTGAAATTTCCAGTGATTGCGAAGCCGTTGGAGTCGAATGGAAGCGCGAAATCGCACGAAATGTCTCTGGTTTACAATCGACGCGGATTCAAGGATTTGGAAACGCCAGTGCTTCTGCAGGAATTTGTGAACCACGGCGGGGTAATGTTCAAGGTTTACGTCGCGGGAGAGCAATCGGTGTGCGTGAAGAGGAAATCGCTGCCGGATGTGGTGGAAACAGAGGAGGAATTGGAGAAAAAAACAGACGGCGCGATGAAGTTTTCGCAGATATCTAGGGCAGAGGAAAAGAGCGAAAAATGCAATTGCGGCGGAAAGAAGGAGGCGGCGGCGGAGGAGGAGATCGAAATGCCGCCGGAGAAGGTAGTGACGGAGGTGTCGAGAGGGCTGAGGGAAGCCATGGGGATTAGGCTGTTCAATTTCGACATGATTAGGGATCGGAATGGAACGTACTACGTGATCGACATAAATTACTTACCAGGATTTGCAGTGCTGCCGGATTACGAGGCATTTCTGACGAAATTCTTCAACGAAGTTATGCAGAAGAAGGTGGTGGAAGAGGAGAATTCCGCCATGGAAGACGAGAAAGCAAAACCACGGTGCTGCTGTTTCCATGAACGTGAAAGTCAAGCCTCCACGTTTGAAAACGACTTTTGTTCACGTGTGCTGAATTAGCAATCCAAACATGGACAAAAGCTTGATGGAATAGTTTAACCTTTTAAGTATGGAGCCACCATCCATCAAGCTATACAATATCAAAGGTAAATTAGGTTCGTTTTACGAGGGAGAAAGACTACGATGTCACCTTAAATACACATAAACGTACTAAAGATGATGTGCCAAATCTTGCTTAGACGACGGTGATGTAAACTCTAGTTTCATGACCTTCGTCGCGAAGTCAACCGTATCTTACCTTTATCTAAAATAAATAAAAATAACTCTAGTTTCAAACGGTATTGTTGGAGTAAAAAAAAATGCAAACACATGCAACATGATCCATCATTTTGAAAATAATATGACATGACTTTAGGTGGCTTTCGAGTTCGTACATGTAATACTTTTTTATACAGACACAGGCACGCCCATATGAATCCACTAGACAAGATTGAAAATATAGAAAATGAGTCCAAATAGTCCACCCAAGCCTGATAAGCCGTTTGGGACCGTCAGAGCATGCGAAGGCGACTACAAGTCTAGTGCAAGAATTCAAGCCGGACTGCGAGCCGCAATTTGGGGAGTGTTCGGGCATGCGTGAGCTATTGTAGGACGCACGACGTAGGTCTCGGCTTGGGTTAGTGTGCGGTTCGTGGGTTGTTGGTTAGTCGAGGCGTGGGTCACATGCATCTGTAGTTGGGCTTGGGCCTTTGGGTCGTCCATTCGTAGAGATGGAGCAGGCCGCTTCTTTGCGGCTAAGGCACAACCAAGGCCATATACTCTTCAAATGGCTTAGTCATTGTGACGTAGATATCATCATCGGTGAAAGCAATCTTGAAGATAGGATAAATAACAAAGACTCATAAGAGTTGAAAATTATTACATATACCAACAAAGTGAACCTTCATTTTCGGTGGTTCAATCATAGGAACTCCTACGTGAAACGTGCTTTGGTTTGTACAAGTTTAAATCAGGTGGCCTCTTGAAAATTTTCTTAGGAAACACGTGAGTATTCAGGAGATGTAGTTTGTGAATTTAGTTGGTTCATGGATTCTTATGATTGAGTTGGGTTGAGTCGTTTAAGTTGATCTACAGCCTAATGTTTAAATCCAACTCAATCCAATCCCCGAACATCGTTCACCCAACCGACATTGATATCACTTTACGAGAGATAAGTATGAAAGACATCCTAAAGCTAATAACTCGATCGACTTTTGTGTTGATATTTGGCAAACACAAGGAGGATTTCCAAGAGATGAGATGGAACAAAAATGGAGGGAATCATAGACCAAACCCCAACCTTTTCCTTGTTTGGAAAATTGAGACTAAATCCAATAAAAACAAGATTCCTCATTCATATCAAAAAAATGTATTTTGATCCTCTACAATATTTTGTATTTTAGTTTAAGTAACGATGAATAAAAATTTATTGTGTTATCGTAGTCTTAATCAATATTTTGTAGCGTGTTTCGATTGTGAGGTATGAACAAGTTCTCTTATCTCTTCGTCTTCTAACATATCGTAATCCTTCATCTAGCCTCCGTCTTTATCTGATTCTGATTTCATATTGTGGTCTTTTGGTTTGTGTACTAGAGGTCAAAGAAGTTTAGTTTCTACGATTGTTGATGTCAATTTCACTCGGTTTATATCACGTATGGTGACTATATCGTTTAGGGTTTATTTGGCACGTAGGTTTAATATTTAAAGCCCGAGTTTCTATAGTCTCGAGAGTAAATGACACGCAGGTTCGATACTTAAAATTTGCATTTCCGTAACTTAGAGATGATGACACGTACGTTCATTATTTAAAGTGTATTTAAAGCTTGAATTTTTATATTCGTAGAGCAGACTTCTAATAACTCAAAATTAAAATATAAAATAAAATAAAAGTTGTTCCATGTTGTATGTGTTTGCATTTTTCAACTCGGGCTATTTATTGAATATTTCTTAAAATATTCAAATCAATGTATTACTCTTACATTTCAGATAAAGGTAAAACATTCACACCACATCATGATGAAAGCCATGAAACCAGTGTTAGAGTAGTTGCATTTTGTCGGTCACAACATTATTTTATTTAAATTTCACTTTATTTATTTTTAAATCTGACATTGTTTTTGAAATACTTTAAATTAACGATTTCACACTTAATAATCATGTCGTGTATGTAGTGACAACCTTATTTTTAATCGAAAAATTGGGTCGTTACAAGACTTGAGGGCATAGTGTAGCTTGGGTTTGTAACTCGAGTTTTATAGCTTATGTTTGGTTATGTGTAGCACGGATTTGGATAGTCTAATTTTTATTATTATTATTTTTATTCAATTGTTTAATTTGTCGTATAATTTGGTTAAATATTGTCGTTTATATAATTTACTAAATATGTATATTTAATAAAAAATTATGCTAATATGACATTATTTTGTATTAAAAAGTAAGATCTTCATTATTTATTTATTTTATTTTATTTTATTTTGCAATTTTACTCCTATAAGTAATATTTATTATATTAAAACGTACCATAATTGAAAATGGTATTTAAATGCATTATTATTTATATCATTTTAAAATTACCAACCTCTAATTTTCTTACTTAAATTACCAACGTCTTTAATAACATGTACAAAAATTTAAAATAAAACCTTTTCAAACGAAGTCATAGATTTACCCGTTTAATTTAAAAATAAGAAAATAAAAATAACATAGTATTTGGTTTGAGATGCTCCCTCACGTTGTGACACACATATGTGCCACAAAGCAGCTCACTTAGACCGTAGGGTTCAGGAGTTATAAAGAGCTAACATCATGCCTCCTCGTACATTTTAAGCCATTTTCAATCCTTCTACAATAGACAACATTTTGGTTAGCAGTCATACGACCCTGTAAATCGTTCTTTGAATGTCCGATTGACACAAAATTTGGTGAACCTTCATCTTTCATACAAACGAACTCAACTCCAGAACCTCATGTCGAAACTCGTATCGCCAGCCTTCTTTGAACTTGTCTTCAACACTCATGTGACCTCGTTCTTTCAAACCTTGCATATGCCTCGACTTAACTTAAATGCATACTCTTGGTGTGTTAGATGATGCACAGTCTGCTTCGATCGCATCATCACACTTCTCAATTTTGGCGCCTCTTGTCTGTCATGCGTGTGGGGTCACAACCTACTTTTTCTCAATGATGTTGTGACACTCTCCTCCACTAAACCTACTATCGTCCTCGATAACTTTCTCGGGGTATAATCATATCATCGATTATGACATCGTGGATGACGCAAACGGAGAAACCGATCACTAATCGACACTGCCACTGCCATACACTTGTCTTCCAACTTTCACTATATAAACCTCCACTTCCCTCTTCCTCCCTCCGCCAATTCCTTTCAACTTTTCCCTCCATTTTCCCAATTCCCAAACACCCTTTTCCCATTTCTTCAATCCCTCCCTCCCTCCATGTCTTCCCCGCGCTTCCGAATCGGCTACGCCCTTTCCCCCAAAAAGGAGCGTTCATTCATCCTCCCTTCACTCATCGACTACGCCAAACTCCATGGCATAGACCTTGTCCGCATCGACCCTCTTCTCCCTCTTGTTCATCAGCTCCCCTTTCACTGCATCATCCACAAGCTTTACGACCCCTCCTGGGTTCAAAAATTACACGATTTCACTTCCCAATTCCCTGATGTCATCATTATTGACCCACCTAAGCTAATCTCCCGCCTTCTCAATCGTGACTCCATGCTTCAAGTCGTCAATGACGTCAAAATCCCTAAAGGGGTTGAGCGAATTGAGACACCCAGACAAGTTGTGGTGAATGATTTGGATATCATAATCAAAGATGGGTTGAATGCATTTCGCGATTTGGGGCTCAAATACCCTGTAATCGCCAAGCCCTTGGAGTCCGATGGCTCTGCAAAATCGCATCAATTGAGCTTGGTGTCGAACGATAACGGATTAAAGGGATTAAACCCACCAATTGTGCTGCAAGAATTCGTCAATCATGGCGGTGTTGTTTTCAAAGTGTATGTCGTCGGGGAGTGCGTGGTGTGCGTAACGAGGAAATCTTTGCAGGACATTTCGGCGGAGGAGGTCGAGAAATTGGAAGCGGTTTCGAGGTTTTCGCAGATATCAAATTCAGGGGCTCAAGAGGACGACGAGGGTAATGTTGAAATGCCATCTTTGGATTTTGTGATGCATGTGGCTGCTGGGTTAAGGGAAGCAACAGGGCTTAGGCTTTTTAACTTTGATATGATTAGGGATAGTAATGATCTGAATAGATATCTTGTGATTGATATTAATTACTTACCTGGGTATGCCAAAATGCCTAACTATGAGCCTTTCTTGACCAAATTTTTCTTGGATATTGTTCATAAACCGAGTGATGGGGTAGCCTTTAGTTCTTCCAATGTCAATGAAAATGTGGTAATGTTCTGTTGAATGGGAATGCAGTAACCAAAATAAAAGTATCGCTTTTGCTTTGATTTCATTTAGTGTTCTGAAATTTTCTAGTGAATCTCGTTGGCTGACTGCAATATCTAATATATAGTAACTGTAACATTCTAGGAATTTACGGTGTGTTTGTGTGCCCAAGTTCACCGCTAGTAGATGTTGTCTGTTTTAGCTTGTTACGTATCGTCACTAGCTTCACAGTTTTAAAATGTGTCTATTAGGAAGAGGTTTCCACACCCTTATAAGACCCCTCTCCAATCGATGTGAGATTTCACAATCCACCTCTCTGGCTGACGACAATACATAACAGACTAAAACAGACAATATCTACTAGTAGTGGGCTTAAATTGTTACAAATGGTATCGGAGTTAGACACCGGACGGTGTGCTAGTGAGAACGCTGGCCGCAAGGGGGTGAATTGTGAGATCCCATATCAGTTGGAGACAGGTCTTATAAGGGTGTGAAAATCTCTCCCTAGTAGACATATTTTAAAACCGTGGCCCGGTGTTTAGCTCTAATCCCATTTATAACGAACGGCTCAAGCCCACCACTAGTAGATATTGTCCGCTTTAGCTTGTTACGTATCGTCGTTAGTCTCATGGTTTTAAAATGCGTTTAGTAGGGAGAGGTTTCCACATCCTCAAGACCTCCTCCAACCAACGTGGGATCTCACTGTTTATGCTATCGTAAGCAAATTACAAGTGCCTTTCCCGCAAAACCCGTCTTTTGACTCCTCCCAAACCCTATGATTTCAAGGGAAAAATGCTTTTGGCAGCCCATAACATACCCTCATCCACGAATGTACCTCCTTATCAACTAGCATAGGTTAGCCTCATGGTCGGTCATAACCTATTGGTCAATCCATGGCGTTGCCACCTACCTAACATTTAATATCTTAGGTGTTTTCTAACCACCAATATAGTAGGATCAGATGAGAGTTGTTCTATAAGATTAGTCGAAAACGAAATCCTTAAACCAGAATTTGATCACTATGCTGTTTACCCGGTTCGTTCTTTACTGTCGAGAATATTACCCACATTTTTATTTATTTCCCCGATCGACCAAACCGCTCCCTAACAGGAAGTTGTTAGTTCCCTACAAATTGCAGCATCTTCCTTTGTTCAAGTAAATGTACAAAAGAAGCAGACAGATTAGTGGCCATCAAAATCTTGCCACTCTGGCAGAAAGAAATCATTTACAAGAAAAGATAGGTGACAACATGGAGATGACTGATAGCAATAAAGCATAGTTGTATGGTTTCCAATATTCATGCCAGATCAGCAAGGAGAGCATGAGCTGGAGGATGAGATCAGATATCACTTACTGTGAGTTTGACAAATTCCCTTTACCTTATTCATATGTACAAATAACATTAAATTTTCAGAAATGAATGATGATGATTGTTTGCTTATGGAAAAATGCGTGGAATCTCTGCCTACCCTTTATTACAGATTTGATTGCCATTTCCAAATCTAGGGAAGCTTACTACTATGATTGATTCTTGAAAGTTGTAGTGCTTCATTCTAAAGTCACTTTAGTTTCATTACTTCTCCCAAAATTATATGGGTCGTGTTTGTCTATGAGAATGAATGTAACAACTTAAACTCATCGTTAACAGATATTGTCTGCTTTAATTCATTACGTATCGCCGTCAGCTTCACGGTTTTTATAACGTGTCTATTAGGGAGAGGTTCCACACCCTTATAAGGAATGTTTCGTTCTCCTCTCCAACCGATGTGGAATCTCACAATCCACCCCCCTTAGGGCCCAACATTCTTGCTGACACATCGTCTGATGTCTGTCTCTAATACCATTTCTAACCGCTCAAACCTATCACTAATAAATATTGTTCGTTTTAGCTTGTTATGTATTGTCGTTAGCCTTACTGTTTTTAAAATGCGTTTGTTATGGAGAGGTTTCCACACCTTTATAAGAAATGTTTGGTTATTCTCTTCAACTGATGTGGGATCTCACAATCCACCCCTCTTAGAGCCCAACATTCTCGTTGCCACACCGTCTTATGTCTGGCTCTGATACCATTTGTAACAGCTCAAACCCATCGTTAGCAAAAATTATCAACTTTAGCTCGTTATGTATTGTCGTTAACCTCACGTTTTTAAAATGCGTCTGTTAGGGAGAAGTTTCCACACCTTTATAAGAAATGCTTCGATCTTCTCTTCAATAGATGTGAGATCTCACAATCCATCCCTCTTAGAGCGCAACATTCTCGTTGGCACACCATTTTATGTCTGACTCTGATACCATTTGTAACAACCCAAACCCATTATTAGCAAATATTGTCAACTTTAGCTCATTATGTATTGTCGTCAGTCTCACGTTTTTAAAACGCGTATGTTAGGGAGAAGTTTCCACACCCTTATAAAAAATGCTTCGTTTCTCTCTCCAACCAATGTGAGATCTCACACTGGATTCCTCTTCAAGTCAGTTGGATGGCGTGGATGGTTGCATGAATTTGGGTAACAACTACCAGGGAGAAAGAAAGGAAATTGCACCCGGTTAGGAATAGACGTAAACTCCAAAGTATAGAGGGTAGGGATAATCGTCTACCGTACCAGACATATGTTTGGACACTTTGATTTCTTCGATAAATAAAACGAGGAAAAACAAATGATAAAGACATATTGAAATTGATAGGTAGGCTAGATTTGGGAAAACATCATATATTAAACAACATCAAACTTGGGAAAGTAGGTGGATTAGTTAGATTTAAAGGTCAACAAGCTACCTACTGATTCAATTCATGGAGTCCTTTAATGAAGCTACCTCAGTAAACTTGTCAACTTTGTAATAATGGAAGCTCATCTCACTCTTTGCCATTGTTAGGAGTACAAGAATCAATTATTTCACATTGTTCAACACATGGGTATCATCAATTCTTTGAATGCTTTAAAAATAAGGCAACTACATATGAGCTATCTTCATTGTTCTATTCTTTACATTTGTGTGATGGTTTAAACGAGCTACCGTATGAGTAAATGAGACTACATTTAGATGAGAGTAATATCGATTATATGAAATTATGGTTAAGAAAGACTTCAAATAATTTGATAGTTGCTATCTGTGAGATCCCATATTGGAGATAGAAACGAAACATTTCTTATAAGACTGTGGAAACTTCTTTCTACTAGACGCTTTTTAAAATTGTGAGACTGATGGTAATACATAACGAGCCAATGCGGATAATATTTGTTAGCGATGGACTTGGACGTCGGTTGGAAAGGGGAACAAAACATTCCTTATAAGGGTGTAGAAACCTCTCCTTGACAATCGCGTTTTTAAAATTGTGAGGTTGACGACGATACATGATGGGCCAAAGCGGACAATAGATGCTAGCGCTGGACTTGGACTGTTATATTATCTATACCAACAAAGTGCAACTCTGTTTTTTTGTTACTCTATCCATGGTTAGATTAGAGCAATCCTGCGTTGAGTGGCATGTTATGAATTTTCCTAAAAAATACTTGAGGACAAAACATGTTCAAAGTTAAGAATCTGTATGGTAGATAATGTGATCATGTTGTGATTGGTGTACAAAAATTTCGGGGCCATCAGATACTCAATTTAAATTCTGAATCTTGATCAGAATCTATAGTTTTAAAAATTAGGGGAATACTTGTCCTCACAAATTGTCAAGAATTTGTAAAAATCGTTGAACTACCATGACACCGTCCATGGCGAAGGCGCAAAAACAGAAAACGACAACTAAGTAAATACGGCTTTAAACTCAAAATAAGTTAAAGTACGTATGATCAAATTACTATAGAACCCAAAAAAATAATTATTTATTCATATTCTTAAAACTTACTCGACCACATGTTTCCAGTAAGAATTTGATTCTTCATCGTTTATAAGATCTTCCCATTCATCTTCTACAACGGTTGGTATTTTCAAGCATTCAAGAGAAGTTGGAATCAAGTTCATAAGTGAGCTTGAACTTTGACTCATGTCATAAGGAGTCTCCGATTGATTGCTATCGTTTCGGAACCCTAACGTGTCATCCATCGCCCCGTCGCAGTCTTCACATGATAGCGGCTTCTCAGAGGGCTCAACGCTAATGGGTAAGGTTTGTAAAGAAGAGATTTGTTGTCCATTGAAGAGGCTATTGTAAAGGAAGGGAGAAGAAGGGATTGGAAGTTGCCATAGATTTTGGAGGAGCTGAGCCTTTGCTAGTTGAGTGATTTCTGAGTGTAGCCCTAATGGATTGTCCCAAGGAGCTGTGGAAAAAGAAAGCAAGTGATGAAGATTTGAGAGATTGTTGAGATAAGGGTTAGTTCTTGGCATGTGGGTGATAGGATCAATGCCCATTTGTAGAAGCTTCTTCTTCAAGTGAGTGTTCCAAAAGTTCTTAATCTCGTTATCTGTTCGTCCCGGGAGATGTCTCGCTATTATCGACCATCTATGCAACACAAAACAAAAACAAAAACAGAAAGTTCTCTTGACCTCGAAATCAAAAGAAGTTCATATATACATTTCACGATCATATTTAAAAAAAACTTACTTGTTTCCGAGAACTCCATGAAGATTGATGATGATTTGTTCTTCTTGATCAGAGAAATTTCCTCTAATGATATCAGGTCTAAGATAGTTTGTCCACCTTAATCTACAACTCTTACCACACCTGTTCAAACCAGCAAGGTTTGGAAGAGATCTCCAACTCCCGTATCCATGTTTCTCAATATAATCCACTAGTTTTTTATCTTCTTCTGGCGTCCATGGCCCCTTCTTTACACCATTCTCGAGCGTTGGCGACCTCAACATCATGCCCCTTTGAAAGATTTTGAGCTTTTGGAAGATTAGAAATTGACCATATGTTAGAAAAATGACTAGGAAAGTGCCTGTTTTTATAGTGTAGAAGGGAAAAAGTGGTTTGACATTTGATGCTTTTGATTAATTTTGTCCTTTTTGTTTTGACTAATTGTTTCTAATTATGGGATTTGTTTATCATTTTGGAAATGATCTCACTTTTAATCTCTATTCTCATTTACGAATAATCGTGTAAATCAGTTCATGTAAGCA